TTGTAAAGAAATCACTGCAAAAAAAAAAAAGAAAAAAAAACCAAATGCACACAGCTCGATTTACACTGGAACTGTTTCTACTCAAACCTTGCGCCTGCTCTGTAAGGTGAGGTTTCATCTCTGCTCCGGCCACCGGGGTTAACTTTTTTTTTTTAAACGCTCTGTTCTTGCTGTCTGTGTATCTGTCCGTGTGTCCGTCTTCCCCCAGACTCCCTATCTTGTCTGTGACTTTGTGTAAAGTGAGGAGTGTGTTTTTTTGCATCGTGTTTGGAGCCATTTTGCATCCTCCCGTGGAGTTTAGCGGTCGGGCGGTGCAGAGCTGTCGTGGGAGGGCTGGCAGACTTCGGGCTGGTTCATGGAGCGGTATGGAGTGTACGCTTTGTGAATGTACAGCTTCCCTTCCCTTTCCGATTTGTTCTGACTCGCATCTCAGCCAGAGGTTACCGTGTGTCTCCAGTACCGTACGTCCCTTAACCAAACCCTTCTGCATTTAGAAACCGAGGTGGTGGGCTCTTCACAGATACCCTAAAGACTCTTCAGCTGCTGTAACAGGACCCTGGCGATGGCCCGTCCCGGCGGGTTGGGGAGGAGGTCTTAGCGACTGTGAAATAAACTGCCGTAGGAAAGCCCATCACGCCGGTAGGTATGTCTGCCGCGCGCTCCTCCATGAGCACTGCCGGCTCTCGTTTCTGAGTACGCGTCTCCCATCCCTGTTAACTGTGCAGGCTGCTTCTCGAGGACACTAAATCAGCTACGTAACTTGCACTGACTCACTCACCCACCCCTCCAACTGTAGCCACACATGCATCTGCCTCAGCGCTAAACCAAACAGCAGACAGCGGAGCGGTTTCAGACCGGATAAGGTTAGAAGGGGTGAGGGCAGGACAGGGTATCCCCTATAAGCAGGATTGCAGAAGAGAGCTTGTTTGTAGAGAGGTGCCATCGCGAGATGGTCAAAATGGAGGAGGATCCGAGATGGGAACGCTGACTATGTAGCATTTATACAGCACTTTTCATGCAAACATGTGCCAGGGAGGTGCAGTGCTTACTTAGCTGACTGGTAGCAAACATAGGAATCGCTCTCAAACGTGCCCGGCTCAGAGGTGGCTGCAGCAGCTGTGGAAAAAAAAATGCAACGCTACAGGCAGTTCAGGACAAGAGGCCGACGCCGCAGCAGCTCAAAACGAGGAGGGGAGACGTCAGATACTCGAGGGCAAATCGTGTTGGGGAGAGGCAGAGGTACGGAGCTTGTGCTTCTCGTCTGTGGCGCAGGGTTAATCGGTGGTACGCTGGCTTCAGAACAGATCTCTTGGTACTTATCTGCCCCTTTTATTTGTTTGGTTTTGTATATTTTATTAGAAATGGACTGTAAAATAGCCACTTAGACACTTTACCTCTTCAGTATGCAAATGTAAATACAATGTAATATAGGAAATCTTTTGTTTAATATAAAACAAGGCTGTCGATTTCTGCTGTACATTATTAAAAGTTTGTTTTATTCACGTGAGGTGTTGGAGTCTCTCGCGGTTTGCTGCGAAGGGTTAGCTGCGGCGTAGAGGGGTAGGAACTGAGCAGCGAAGACTGGCAGAGCCTGTAGTCCCCCAGCCCCCAGAGACGTGCCTGGGGGGGGGCTTGTTCACCCACAGCTAAAATAATCTCCCTGGGAATCCTGCTCAGCAAATCTTCATGTTGAATATTCCCCTTATTAGTGGAGATGCAGCTTCCATCATCCGCTGCGTGCTCAGGAGATGCCTCGATCGTAGCAGAGGTGAGACGAGGATGTGGCAGACGGGGATTTCCAACCCACACGGGGTTGAGCAGCTGAAATCGGGTCTCCCTCTCTGGGGGACGGTAACTGGAAGCAGGAGGGGGTACAGCGGGCGGCTCCCCCGAGCATCCCCCTGCGTCTCCGCACACACGGACCCGCAGCTTCAAGGAAGGATAAATTTTAGTCCAAGCTGCCCGGCATCCCTATGAAATCCCGTTTGCTGGGAGGGCAACCGGTGCTGGGCAAACGGCCCCCGCTAATTCTCCCTAATTAGAGCCTCCCATAAATGAGCAGGTTGTGAGCGGATCAAGGGGAAAATCCGCCGGGGCCTGGGGTCCCCCGTGGGCTCAGACTGATGGCGTTGGTGGGGAGGGGGAGCCGCCATCTGGGCTCGCCCCTCCTCCCTTTCCAGCTTTGTCTGCAGCCGCTGCCGCGGCCCCTGAGCAACTCTAACCCCGTCCTGGAAATGGAGGCAGCGGGTGACTTGGGAGTACGCCTTTTTTTAAAGCAAAAATTGCCTTTACTCCTCTTTCAGGAAATGTGCTGGGAAAACAGGTCCAGGATGGCTTCGGCCACGGGGCCAAGTCATTACCTGGGCTGCCCGATTTTTGGGAACAGGACGGGACGTTCTTTTTCACTCCCTGATAAAGGGTCATGGTTTGGTGCCCTGGGATGGGTGGTGGGCTCAATCCTGTCCTTTCCCAAGCACTTCCCAGCCGGAGCGGCTCAGCTCTGGGAGCAAGCTTGCCTCCTGGTAACCCCTGGACAGCCTGTGGGCGGGTGGCTTGGGTGTAACGCCAGCGGGATTGTTACAAGCTGATTTTTTTGGCAAATTTTAAATAAATATCTGGGCAAGCACCTCAATTCCAGCTGGAAAATTCCTGCTACCTCCCAGTGCGGTGCAGTGAGGGGCTGCCCGGAGCCGTGCGCCGTGTCCGCAGCAGGCACCGCGTCTGCCTCCGGGAATTGTTATGTCCTCCGCGTCCCCGTCCTCAGCACGGGCAAAGCTCTTGCAGGAACGGTTTAAATCCTCCCGTCCGCTCACGTTGGGAGCACGGCCCGGGGCTCCGGCTGCCCCCTGCCTCCAGCTTCTGCCTTGAATTAAATCCTAAATGCGGCTCTGGCGGCGGGGTGTTGTCCTGTGGGGTGAAACAGCTGTGGGTGCTTGGCTGGAGCCAGGCTCCGGGGAGCGGCGGAGCCCGGCATCGCTTCTGCGCCAGGGAAACCCCTCCGGTTTCTCCCGTTATGGTCCCCAAGATGATCTCCGGGCCGATGCAGCCCCTCCTTGGTCCCCCGCGGCACCCCGCCCTGCGCCCCCAGGCC